GACTTTATTCTCGTATTATTAGGACTTTATTCTCGTAACATTAGGACTTTATTCTCGTAACATTAGGACTTTATTCTCGTATTATTACGACTTTATTCTCGTAACATTAGGACTTTATTCTCGTATTATTACGACTTTATTCTCGTAATTTCCAAAAAAGTAGTATGGCCCTAATACTCCGTCGTAGTATACTTACTTGAGTGTCACAGCTGCACATTTTGAGACTTTTTGAGAGGCCGTGCTGCTGTCCGTGGTGCTGGCTGGAGGTGTTCCTCTCCAGGCCTGCAGGGGGTGGTGGTGGTGGTGGGGCAGCAGAGCGCGCTATCTGCCACATTACCAAGAGCAGAAGAAGGAGCCAAACCATGTGAGCAACACCAGCAGTGGAAAAACATGGCGATGCCCGTTAGTGCAGCTCGTCTCTGTCTCTGCCTGGCGGGACGGACCGCCACCTCCCTGACAGCCGGACACAGGCGGGCTGTCAGCCTGCCAGCGAGGAGATGCTACATATCCACCTCGACCGGGAGCCGTGAGTGTTTGTGTTTGTGTTTGTAAACAAAGTAGTCGTAGCTGCAGCCCAGAGGTCGTCGAGCAGCTAATGACCGATGTTTGTTTTTGTTTGTTGTTTGACTTTTCCCCGTTAGTACCGGGCACTTCCTGCCACAGCAACGCAACTGTAACCGGGCTGTAGCCGTGGTAACGAATGAATACAACCGTTAACGCGTCACACGTAACAACAAGAGCCAAAAGCTCGAAGGAAGTCCGGTGAGACCTCTGTAAACAAAACCCTCACCTGGCTTTACGGTCTGAAGTGCGCATGCGTCTAAGCCACAACTCTTAATTAGACTATGTTACGTAATGTTTATTTTTTTTATTTTTTACACACTCAGTAGTATCTGAAACGCAAACACGCGGTAGTTTAGCTGTTTGTCCGATAATAGGTGTATCCTCCTGAGACCCAGCCTATTAGTTGATGTCCTCTGTAGTGGACATTGGTTTTTGGGCTATATCTCTTGACTTATTTAAGCTACCCCACTAAGCCCCAATGAGCTCCAAAGAGGACACCCTGGCCTTCCCAATGATATCTCAAGTGTTAGGATTGGATGAGGGGAACTCTTTTTTCAGGTTGAGACAAAAAAAAGTAAAAAGTAAAATTGGTAGACACTGTGTTTGTTCCTTGGTTTGCTCAGGAGGGTGGAGTTTTCTGCCATCTGCCTCACACACAACGACACACACACACACTTTGTTTGCTGTGCTTTAATCTTCTCTGCAAGGTAATGACTTGAAATGATACATAAGTAAACATAATGTCAGGTAATCTCACTGAGACTGCAAAAGAGACCTACAGTAGATCAGTGGATTCAACATCTTTTATTTGCAGCTGTCAAAATGTGAACTGGAATTCATGATCAGGTCACACTCAACACTGCTGAGTACCATTAGGAGCCACGTTTAGTTTTATTGACCTATGATCAAGAACTTGTTTCAGCAATGTTTTGCATTAGTTTCTTTAGTTTCCCAAAAAGACAAGAGTTTTTACAAGGCCCGGCCATCTCCTGCCTCTTAGATAGTTTTGTCAATTGACTATCTTTTAGTTTGACTAAGTGTCTTTTTCCGGGCGATGGGAGCCATCCAGTTTTATTTTTTTTTTTCTTTCTTTTCCTTAAAACACTTCTCTTATTTTTTGACATGTATGTAATTTCTTACAATGGTCACGGTGATGAGGTCAGGGAGTGCAAATAATGGGTGCGTGAAACGTATGCCCTCAGAAAGCATCCCTGTGAGTAAAAAGCTCAGAAATCCGACTGCTCTGATCCTTACGCCACAGTTTTCTTTATATGGTTATCTGCTCCGGGCAGAGCTGAGCATACCTACAAAGTACACGGACACAGGAATTAATTGTTCCAACTCTAAGCTTCATAGATTTGTTAGGTTCAGAGCACTCTGGTTTCCTTATTGTTCCTAAATGAATCAGATTTAGGCCTTTTGTTTTTCAGCAGACTTTTTTTCCCATGCATACTTAGCAGTAATAGTAATAATGGCTCTTTTCCAGCAATACAAAGTAGCAATTAATGTTATTAGTCACTTTACCATGTCAAAATGTCTGTTCTGAAAAACGTTTATTCAGCTTTTCTTCTGCCCAGTTTGGGAGCCATTGTTTTGAATACATTTGCAAGACCTGATCTGCTCTAAGTGCAGCTCATAAATAATATTCAGATCAATTTTATAGACACTGACGGCATAAACAAAGAGCCAGATTTGGGTAAGGCAGACTCCATTGCCTCATCCATTATTAAACATCAAACTGAAAGTCATCATTGAAAAATATTGTCTTTTTCTCCCTGCTCTCCTCAGATCTTCAGTTCAGGCTTGATGAGCGAACGGCTCACAGCAGTCTGGACCTCTTCAAGAAAGACACTGGCGTCATCTACCGCATGCTGGGTCTGGACCCCAGCCACCTGCAGGACAACCCCAATCGCTTCCGAGACTGGGCCGTCGTGTTCGGCGATGAGAAGATCGGCAGCGGGCGGCACTACTGGGAGGTGACGGTCAAAAAGTCTCAAGAGTTTCGTCTGGGTGTGGCCGAGGCGCTGATGTCCCGAGAGGACTGCGTGGGCACCAACAGCTCCTCCTGGGTGTTCGGCTACGCTCAACGCAAGTGGTTCGCCATGACCAGCAATAAGATAGTTCCTGTGACGCTGGTGGGGAAGCCGGACCGCGTAGGCATCCTGCTTGACTACGACGCCGGCCTTCTGGGGCTGGTGGACGTCGGACACCGCACGATCATTCACGCCCTCAGGGTCCAGTTCAAGGCTCCCCTCTGCCCTGCGTTTGGACTTTGGGACGGGGAGCTGCTCACACACTCTGGCCTGGAGGAGCCCGAAGGCCTGAAGTGAAGCGGGAGGAACTGCGGTGGGGATGATTGTGACTGCCGTGAAAGGCCACAGGCAATATCTGTGCAAATCAATTCAGTTGCATGTGATGGTTAATTCTCTGTGGTCCCATTGGTTCATAGTCATGACTCTTAACAATGCAAGTTCATACTTTGTGTATGTCGTCCAGCCTCAGGCAGCCATACCACAGACGCTGTATATGTGTGTGTGTGTGTGTACCTCATGTATTACCTCTCAGACTAATGGATGTGAAAAGGATGTGTGGTTGTTTTTTGAGGGGGACATTAACTGCCAAGTTGTCAGTTTACACTGTCTTCTGTCGTTACCCACACAGCTGAAATCAACACAAAGCCTTTTTTTTTCCATGTTCATACTGTATATTGTTTAATAAAATAACTTCACTGAAATTGCTTTAATTTCTTTGTTATTTACAGCAGGATGATGTATATTTACAGTCACAGACAAAAGCTTGAGTAGACCTGAGGAATCATTTCACTTAAGATGAAGAAAAATGGTGGTTGAGTTTCTCAGTACACTGCATACTAACGAGCAAAAGCTTTAATTTTCTTCATGTCAAAAAGTATCACTTCAAACAAATGTATGTCTAGTTTGCAACAGTCATTTGCATAAATGTAATTATATATTTAGTGTTAGAGTAACCCAACTGTGCACTGTTCCCAGCGCCTGAGACATGCAGATGTTTTCTGTGATACACTAGTAACCACCACTAGTAGAGCTCACTCTAATAACGCAAGAGTAATTCTTCCAAAAAGAAAAAAGAAAATGACCAACAGAAGTTAGCAGTGAATAAACTGGACCATGAGTCTCAGTGAATTGGCAAAAACTACAATGAAACAGTCTTTTCAGTGTTATGCAACTCCATCACCTCCTGTTGAGGTAGAATAATGAATGAAGCAGCTTTGAGAATATTTATACAGTTATTACACAGGATGCATAAAATCCCCTGATTAAATGGCATACTGATGAAGCTAAATATATTTCAGCATTTAAAAAATAAATAAGCACAATATATTATATATATATTTACATCTCTTTGGTATTTTCTGTCATAACATAAGCACAAAAAACATTCATTAAAATTGCAACTCAAGGCTTAAATTATAATTTTTCTCCACACAAGCAACACATCGTCTATTTATATAGTGCTTTGTTGATACTTTATATTGTTGAAAAGCAACATGAATTTTAATGAAATGCATTGCAAAGGGACTTAACCATGCACTGTATAGCTTTTCAACAGTCTAAAGGATGTTCCCCACATTATATATAGTTCATTATCATATTAAAGAAAACCCATTCATTCATCATGTCTCTCAATCATCCTGTGTCCTTTCAGTCCTCTCAGGTGTACAATAAAATACATTTTCAAGCCCTCATGATCCCCCGTGGTTTAAACGATGCTCTTCACCGTGTCCAGCGTGGTCTTCTGCTCCTCTGTGTCGCCCGGTGAGTCTGCGTCAGTGTACACACCCAGGTACTCTTGCAGGACTGAAACAACAACATCATGGCCAAACTGCATGGCGTCATCTATGGGTGTGTTCCCCCATCTGATAGGTAACACAATGTAATATGGAGATGGATGGATTGTTATGGTTAGTAATATGGAGATGGATCCTTCTACCATTTTTAAAATCTAATATCAGATGAAATAGTTTATATTTAAATCCCTACCTGTCTTTCATGTGGGGATTCACTTTACATATTTCAGTTAGGAAGATAACAGCTTCCACGTGACCTGAAAGACAATCCCAGTGGCATATTTGATTCATTCTAGTTTGAATATCAAAGCCAAGATTATTGAAGAATGAATGAACTAATAATGAAGTGTCACCTTCTGCAGCAGCGATGTGGAGCGCTGTGCGAGAGTCGTAGTCTGTCTGCTCCATGTCTACGGCTGAAAGAGCAAACCTGGAGGGGTAACAAAGGAGCGAAGGAGATGAGAGGGAACACACATAGAAAGGTTAATTTGAGTGATGGCAAACTTTCAGAAACTCTACTGAGTAGCCCTACAATCACACAAGTGAAGGACTTGTTAATATGAATGCAGACATGTTTTGGAAAAGCAGTGAATGAATGAACGAACCAACTATAACAATAGTTTAACATTTTGGGGAATGTAAAGCTACAGTCAGGAGGCGATTAGTATATTTTATAGTAGTATATTACATATAATGTGTTAATCAATGAGTTTTAGAGCTGCTGTTAAGCAGACTTATGTTTTAAACCCTCGGACAGGGCTAAGCTAGCTGCTCCCCCCTGTTTCCAGTCTTTATGCTAAGCTAAGCTAACCTGTCTGCTGGCTTTAGCTTCACAGATGTTAAAAGGGTTTTGATCTTCTCATCAAACTCTTGGCAAGAAAGTGTATGAATGTCAAACAGTTTCATTAAGATTAGAGCCTGAGAACCGATTTTTGTTGAGACCGATATCAATTTTTAAAGGCAGAAAATTACTGATGTGGCGCCCAATAGTGAATTTCTCAGTTGGACTGAAAATAGACGGATTTTGCCCTGTTATGACTCTTAGGTTCTCAGAAGGCTGCTTTTATGAACAAATTACTATTAAAGTTAAATATTCTTTAACATGTTAAATAATTTAACATGCATTGTCAAGCAATTCTAGAAACAAGCATTGCTGCATTATATACCAGAAAAGAAAAAAAAAGACATATACAGCAATACTGATACGATATCAATACGTCTGCCGACCAATATATCGGTCAGGGTCTTTTTAAGATTGTTTCAACCATCTGTTGTGTACTCGTCTAGTGTTGGAGCTTTGAGCTTTACCTCCTCAGAGAAGAGACGTCACCACTGTAGGCTGCAAACATCAGTTTTACCACTGACTTGTTCTAATGGATCAAAAGACAAACGTTACTTGATATGATATGATAATATACAGTCTCTTAAACTCAAGAGGCATCTATGTTTCTTACTAGCCTGAATGAGAATTACAGCCTCTACACTTGTTGCAATGAACTTACTGGATCATCATCTGATCTTCTTCTGGGGTCGTGTTTCTTAGTGAAGTGTCTCAGGTTGTCATAATTGTGGAAGTTGAAGTGAGACACCAGGTCCTAGTGAATCAAAAGTTGATTGAGATGAAATATTTGAAGCATGCAGATACAGACAAATTGGGTAAAGAAAAATCAATAAAACTATGATGGCGACTAAATACCTGACAGAAGTGAATGCCACGAACACTGTTCCCAAGCCGATCTAAAGGTGGAGACCAACACATCATACCCATGACGTTGGGGACCACCAGCAGAACAGCACCTGAAACTCCAGATTTAGCAGGCAAGCCCACCTGAACAAGAGGAGGAAACAAAATATCTCATTTAAAAACCTGGATTCAACATCTCCTGGAGCGACAATGCTTTCAAACAGGTCCTTGAATTCCCGGTGACTCACATGGAAGGCAAACTGTCCGGAGAAGTCGTACATGCCACAGGAATGCATGAGACTCAGGGTGTTGCGTACGGCTTCAGCACTCAGCACGCGCTCACCTGTGATTGGACAAATACCTCCGTTGGCCAGTGTGGCAGCCATGACACTTCCTGACTCACAGGTCACCTCAATGGAGCACAACTGGTATAAAAAAATATTAAAACATTTAAAAATCAAAAACCAAAATTTGGCGGATTCCCCTTGAAATCAATGAAACAAGGTGGTAGAAACACTACTGCTTTTGTCTACAGGGGCCGCCAGAAACAACAAAAATGGATTCCAAACATCACATTGGTTATCTTAGCTTAGCATAAAGACTATAAACAAGGGGAAACAGCTAGCTCTGTTTAGCTCTCTCACAAGTTAACATGTTATATCTAATTGTATCCGTACAAGAACCAACAAGAAGTTGTGTATTATGTGCCAGACTATTTTTTGGCTGGGTGCAGTGACTTCCTTGAGTCCTGTTGTCACTGTGAGGTTGCCAGGCAAGCAACAGACGGTGCTATACTAAGCTGACCGGCTCCCGCTGTAGCTTTATATTTATCATACAGACGTGAACAATATCAATCTTCTCATTTAACTCTCGACAATGTTCATCCACAGAATACAATACAATGTTAAAGAGTCTCACTTGAAAGTAGAAGTCAAGGGCGGCCATCATATCTGCATTTTCAGGAAAACACTGCAAAGATTAAGATCACAGTCAGCACATCAGAATCAAAATCCAGAATACTTAATATCCCAGGGGGCACCATTAAATTTTTCTATTGTTAAACCCAGAAACACAAACAACAAATATTAAGAAAATGTATATAAGAATACTGAATATATATATGAATATATACATTTTGGTGATTGTAATTAAACATAAAATAGCCAAAAAAAACCCACTCACTTTTTTCTCCTTGAGGTAATAACCAATTGCATAATTCCTATCACCGGTTTCCCTCTCTGACTGGAAACTGAAAGAACATAACAGGTATTAAAAAGATGCATTTCAAGTGACACAGGACAATAATGTTGCTGTTGCACAGTACTTACGTTGCATTGCTGAAGCCCACATACTCTGTACCAGCCATGCTTTTCAAGAAATCCATCACCTGCAATAAGATCAATATTTACTCATACACCAAACTATTAAAATAGATAAATAAAATAAATGGAATCACAAAAAAAATGAAAAGCATTTACTCACATAGTCAAACCTCTCTGCTTTATTTGAATGAGGCTGTAAACAGAGGAAGAAAAACGTCAAAAGTCAGTGAGCCCCTATAGATGGCAGTGTTTCAGTACCTTGACAGCAAGTATAGTTTTAAGTCCAATCTTGGGTGGGCGTTGAGATATGATGTGCACATGATGTCTTTGTGCCTGTCAGTCCATGTGGCAATGTGCACACTGTGGCCTGAGGGCTTGTTTATGACTGTGCTTGAATTTCACAGACCAGTAAGGGATCATTACCAAGTTGTAAAGTAACCAAATAGGGATGGTTGTCACATTCATATTTAATTACTCTACTTATAAAGGTTAAATATGATATCAAATGTAACTGTGAAGCTGAAGGGATGACCAGAAGCTAAACATCACAGCCAATAAAAGAGTTGATTTTATGTCCACCAGGTAGTTACTGTGCCATCTAGTTTTTGAACAAAACATATAAATTTGTGACATTTAAACTTTTGCAGGTAAAGCTGTTCCCACTGGAGCATGAATATTGCTCAAAGTCAAAAACAACTTTTATGAACTTTGTACTTTCCCTGTCTTTGTGCATAAAATATCAAACATCTAAGTGTATAACCTCCTCAGTGTGTACATAAATGATATGCAAATAAACTAAACTGTGTTCAAACAATATCGTCCTCCTTCCACGCACACAAGCGAGGGTGGCTAACACACCTTCTGCTCTGGGGGCTGTAATTGGCCAGAAGCACACACGCCCCTGCGGTCAGGCCCACACACAGAGTTCCTCCCTCGCTGCTGAACCTGACCCACATATGATACGAGGTCCAGAGTGTCTCTTCGATCAGCTGGGAGACGCAGGAGAAATCTCCACAAGGTAACATACACACCTATATATGGCTAAACTCCACCCCCGCATGGCCAAAGCTCACAGATAAGTTTGATGGTCAGTCGGATGGTGACGACCATAGTCCAGCCGTAAGAGCACGAAGTGACAAGCCAACAAACGAGATTAGATATGTGATCGCTTACGTCATACGTCAGGAGTGAGTTTGTTCACTGATTTTCAACCTAGACTGTATGAAAATGCTGCTAAAATGAGTAGTGCAACATGACCAATAGATACAGCTTTAAGAAACGTAGCAATCTGTGGCTTCTCACTTGGAGTTGGACTCAGAGTTGGAATTCTTTAGGCCTTCAAATATATCATAATAAACATAATTTTCAAGAAACTTAACAGGAAAGCTTACAGTATTGTCATACTTGTTTTGATACTGTTGGTTCTGCTGTAAAATGTGCCACAAACTTTGCTTTGTTTTAGAGCAGTGCCCGTTTCATAAAAAGCAATTTGGGGAGCACTGCTGTCACGCAGATGGCAAATTTGGCAGTGTCACATTTTCACAATGATTTTGGCTAGAAAATTTAAAAAGAAGTTCAGTGCAAATGCAGTGACTCTCTGATTATCCATCATTAATTCACAATTCTCTCTCTCTCTCCCTCCTTTTTAATCAGTTGACTATGGACGTTTACTCTCCTCCAGCCAATGTGTTGCTGCTGTCGAATTTGAAATTTGTTTTCTTCTCTGTTGCTTTCAGCTGTCATGCCAGTTTATCATCCAGTGCCCAGATTGAGCTCATAAGAAGTCCACTCGTCATCACATCCAGACCTTCAGCCTCCTCCTCATTCCTTCCTCACCACCACCAGTGTCTAGACTACATCAGTGGGTTTCCTATACTGATTACAGCTTCACCAACCCTGCGACATCATGATGGGTTCTAATTGCCTAAGACTTTTCACATTTCTGGACTTTATTGTGTCAATAAAATATATTTGTTCATTTAAACATGGGCTGCAAGTAAAGCATTTGTTTTGATGAGTGAAATGTTTTTTTTTGGACAAATTCCTGGTTCTACTGAGGATGCAGCTAAAAAACAAAAACTGTCATAATGCATTTGTTGGTGGAACATAGAAACATCTGAATATCCTGTTAAGTGTAGTTTTTCTTCATTAGGTTTGAAGGCCTACATGATTGCCCCTTTGAACTGTGTTTAAACCCAGAGAGAGGCCGAAGCATAACGCTACACTGCACAGTAATAATTGAAGGGGAAAAACATTTAATAGGGTCTGGGTTTAAAAAGAGAAAGTCTATTTTTGGGCCTGACCGGATACTTCCTGAGATTCCACTAATCACCACTCCTCATTAATGACCAACTGTGTAGTACATTCTGTGTGTATGTTGTAAAAACCTCTGTAAATATCTGTCATATCAGTGTATTCATTGCTGACAAGCCTTTAGATTTCTACCTTAATTAAAGAACTGATGACGATAGCTCCGGCATTCACCATTGGGTTGTGTGGTTTATCTGCACAGGAAACAAGAGCATGTTATTACTCAATTGCCCCAAACCACAAGAGCAATAAACTGCTGAGATTAGTTCATCAGGGGAAACGTGGAGTAATATCAGCTAATAAACTGAACACACAAAGTACAATCCTGTTTGTTTCAGATTGGAGTGTGTAATAGCAAATGACTACAAATGTGAGATAAAACAGTACATAATTTGGCTGAAAGTTCATCTGGACAACTTTTTTTCCCAGTAAAATAATGACTCTTGCACTATCTTGCCAATAACCAGAGTCTGTTGCAATTACTGAATTTCTCCATATTTCTACATAATGGAAAAGAAGGTGTGTTTTCTTTTTACAAAACTAGGATGGATCATGAACACTCAGTATTATTGTTACTGCTTGTTCTTGCGTAGAGCAGATAATGAAAGTCTTGATTACACTAATAACTTACCTTCCTCATTTAGTGACAGTTTGTTGAACTTGAATCCACTGGGCTCTTTGCCCACAAACTGGTGAGCGATCTCGCTGCCGAGGTTGTGCACGGCGATGGCGTACTCCAGAGGCTTTACACACGACTGCAGACAGAAGGGAACCTTTGTGTCACCCACAGAGTGTCTGCATGACATGAGGATGTAATGGAAAAGCATAGAAACAAAACAAAACAAAACAAAACAAAAAAAAATGGAGGAGTGTTAGTGAGGCAGTACACACGGTGGAGGTTTTCAGAACGGAAACATACATTAAAGATGTTACTGTACCTCTGTCCATCAATTGTGCACAGAGATACACCCCAGAGATCAGGGCTGAACTTAGCCAGCTGGGGAATGTAATCAGCTACCTGCATGAAACACGAAACACGTGTCAGTGTAACTGTAATGAATGAGCAGATACTGAATTAGTACGCGTCTTAGTATCTCACTTACTTGTCCTGCCTCCTGCTGTTGCGCACTGTCATACATGTCATTGATCTGCTGGGTGAACTTGGCAAAGTTTGGGATGATGAACTTTTTTTTGAAAGCCTTCGTTAGCAGCATGATGTTGTTTCCCACACACCTACAACAGGACAAATGATTGAACTGAATTCATGAGGAGAATTACAAAAAATAAAAAAAAATACATATGGTGCAGTTAGTATTAGTATCAGATTAACTGTTTATATTTCGAATAAACTCTCATGTCATACATTAAAGGTTTAGTGTTTAACATTTAGGAAGATCTACTGCCGGAAATGGAATATAATATACATAACTACTTTTTAATTAATGTATAATGACATGAAAATTAGAACTATTATGTTTTGTTAACTTATAATGAGTCGTTTTTATCTACAGTGAGAGCTCAGAAAGGACCAACCAAAACTAGCTCTTGATAGGCCCTTTATGTTGTCCACACACTCTAGTTTCTCCTTTGTACTTGGAATAAGGGAAGGGTGAGGTGAGGGAGTTACAATCTGCAACTATACTGCTAGATGCCATTAAATCCTTCACACTGGACCTTTACGATTTCTCAGATCTCTCTGAGGCAGCCCTGCTTATTGGTAAACTCTTTAAATTGTTGTTTTTTGTCCAAATTACAAAAATATATATTTTTTTCTTCCCCTAGTGTTATGTAGCCACACAGATAATTTTGGTTTTATTTGCCCAGGTTTTGAAATATCATTCACATATCAGCTGGACTCACTGATGCAATCAGGTTACAATATTTCTGCTGCCACTGGAATACAGTGGAAGTGAATTAAATTTGGTTTTTGGTGCTCACAGTGTTGAAAATGTACATTTGAAAAATTCACTAGCAACATGTCTTTCCAGAAACATTGGCTGGTTACTTTGAATAATATAGTTTTCAATTTAAAAAAAGTCCCCTTCATAACTGTTGACATTATATATTGTGAATTATAATTGTTTACGGAAAGACACCATTTCATTCAATTTCATTCACCTTTGTTGTATCAGGGTGGAGGCAGAAATCTCTGAGACAGATAAATCAAACCTCTATGAAGTCAAAACAAAACATGTCCAGAAAGCACAAGAGGTGTTTGTTGTTGTTTTTTTGTATTTGAGTCAACTAACCCTTTAATAGGAGCAGCCAAACAACCACAGTTCATGTTCAAACAAAAGGGAAGGGGCAAACTCAGATAGCAAAATAAATCTGGTCCTAATGGGAGCAGTAAAAACACAGTTGTTTCTCAAACTGCAGCGACTAAATGGAATTCAGCCATAATTTATTTGATCATTTACACCTGTTCTTTTGTGACATGTAAATATGTCTCCAGTGAAAAACGTGAGATTATCCTGAGTGATGGGAGGTTTCTGTATATAAATAAAATACCATTCACCCCTATTGCATTAGGTTAGAGGCATAAATCTTGGCAAATAAAATGAACTATGCTGCGTGGCTACGTACCATTCAGATAAGTAAGGAAATATGTTTTGGGGGTTGTTTTAGGATTTGGGTGAACCAATCCAATCCAGGACTCCAGCCAAACAACCACTGTTAATTTTTAAGCACAGGGTTGTACAGTTATAGCCCGCTAACAGAGATAGCTACAGCCTTGTACGGCTAATTCAACCTCCATTATCTGTTGTGTTAACTAGCCTTCACTGAGTTATAGTGTTATGACTGAACAGCATTTTTTATAATAAGCAAGAACATAAGCTGTGTAATATGAGCCTCTTGTCCTAAAGTCTTTCTTTCTGTGGAACTCGATCCAACCATTTGTCAAAAAAAGTTTAGAAACTCCAAACAATTTTGCATTTAATTGAAATGCTCAACTCCAACTCAGTTTTTTCATCTCACTGGATTCAACTTTCGGGCCAATACACACCCAGATAAAAGGGTAAACAAACACACCTGCCTTTATTATGTCAGATCCAAACTGTTATTATTGAATTCCTCTGCTATAATTGGTCAGCAATGCGGTATTCTCTCAAGGAAAGGTATGCACGTTCTGTCACAGCTTGGTCTGAACTAAAATATCTAGCCTGCAGCCTTCACTAATCCAAGGCGATGCTAGCGTGAGGTTTTGGGACACCAGGCGCAGAGAGTGGAGAGAACTTGCATTATTCATATGGGTCATTTCCTAAAAAAAAAGAGGAAAAAAAGGAAGATAGCTCTCTCTATTTCTAGTAGCATATTTATAGTGAACTCTTGAGTGTTCTTCAGGAAAGGCTAACCTCACAAATAAAAATAAAAAACCAAGCAAATAAAGTCGGACACGGCCAATTAAGTTTGACGAAGACAACCAGTAACCCTCTTCTGTTCCAGGCCAAAGGATGAGATTGAGTGAATTACACTCACTGATGATACTGTTTGGACAACACTCTGCACGGAGCTCACAGATATGTTCAGTCTCCTAATGTAATTGCCACAGTCTGGAGCTCAACCAGAATGATGCCCTTTCATTAACAACCCCTGGAGACCCTCTGTCTTTATGCACTCTGCACTGCTTTGGCTGTCATGTGTGAATTTGGTTAGCAGCAGCTGTCAGCCATAAAACGCCTGTCTCTGTCAGTCTCTTGGACTCAAATAGCGCTGACCACAGATTACTCCTCCTATTACTACCTTTAGTTAAGAGCAAAAGAGCCATAACCTTACATAACCTTATCTAATCTTGCACCTTTCAGGCTTTCATCCATTTTTTCCCCCACGATTGTTTTGGGAAGGTCCTGAAACTATTCTGAATATTCAAATTCCAAGGGAGTGGGAAATCTGCTTGAAACAACATTAGAATTAACACCAGGCCAAACTGGCTATGCAGCAGTAATATAAACCGAGCGTTTAACAAATACAGAGGGCGTTCAGTATGCTTTTCACATGCAGGTAAAAGTTTACCACTGTCATTTGAAAAATGGTGTGCATAACTTTCTCCATAAATAACCAAAGCTTTTCTCACCTTCTGAACAGCGTCTTGTCCATCATGACTGGCCCGACAGAGTCACGTGTGGATTGTCGCATCTGATGGACACAGTCACGCAGCCGAGGGTCAGACGTCAACAAACCTGTTTTTCTCAGAGCCTGGAGAGGAGGCAGACGAGGTGGGTATGAGCCAATTAATACACAAGGGAGAGAAAAAGAAGTGATAAGTCACAGATTGCACACTTTATCAAACACTTCATGCACAGTAGTGTTTATGTGATGTCATCTGGCAGGATATCAAATATGTGTAGATGGAATATATAGATAGGGGACTTCAGGAGTGCCCACGTGGGACTGAGGAGGAAACACAGGAGTAGACCAGATTACTGGAATCCCTCTCGTAAGTCACACGTCAGGCTGACAGTCACTGTATGAACCACACGAGTCTATTTTGAGGACACCATGTGCACGACCCTCTCGACCAGAGAGGCTCCAGTGTTTTATTGAGTCATCTCATCTAAAAAAAAACGTTTCAGTGAGCAAACAGACCAATGAAGCACATGGCTGTTAGCTTGCTGCTGCTGTTATTGAATGCCTGTGAGTGATTCTTAGCTTCAGGGCGGGAAATGCTAAAGTTAAGGCTGAACTGACTGAAATTTTGTGCTTATTATATCCTTCAGCTGGCTGTGTGGGGAAGCAGTTGTGCCTTCATAAATTGAATAAAAACACAAAACAGACACAGAGAGGCCTTGTGAATGAGAGCTCGGCCAGCAATATATAGAGTTTATTACCTGATATCTTACTTGATGATATAATAAGTATGAATGAATGCCTGAATCTTTATATATTTACTATAAACTGTTAGAAATACATATTGTCACTCCACGTAGAGATGTAACAATTAATCGATTAATTGATTGACAGAAAGTTAATTATCAACAATTTTTATGATTTAAACATTGTTAAGGTCAATTTATAAACAAACATGATAAAGATTCAGTGGTTCTAGCAACTTTAACAAATGTTTTATTGAGATTTCAATCAGAATAGAGAAAGAAACAAAAGTATACATGTGCCCTTCCATACTGACATTAGACACTAGACAAAACAAGCGGCATACTACTTTTCTTTACTATTTTCTTGTGTTTTATAGACCAGACAATTAATCGATTCATCAAGAAAAGAAAATGAATCATTTTCAATATTAGTATGCTAAATAGTATTCAGTATTCAAAGAATATAAAATATACATTATAAATGTTTTTGGTGGAGATACTAACATGTTTCATCAGATGGCTTAACTTTATCTAGGTTCACCTGCAGTATTTGCTAAATAATTCAGGGCTGGGTATTTTAACCATAAAAGGAAAAATGTTGTTACACATAATGTGTAAATGGAGTAAAAAAACAAAACATTTTATATCTAGTACAATAATTTCCCATCCTAACATCCTGCTTATAGAACTTTTTTTTAAACAAGAAATATTCTCGTAAGCTAACGATGAGTCAAAGTGACTTGTTTTCGCAGTAGTACATTCAAGGATACTGACTAACACTTTCACCATCCGTTTCCTAACCCAGTCACCTCTACAAACACATCCAGTCATCCGTGGTGTGACAACAAGCCACCTGTCTCTCTTCTTCTAAATGCATGTTTCTTTTTAAAATGACTGAGTTGCCATAGACACCGAGGTCACCAGATGTCCCTGTCTGCCTTTTTTCAAGTGACTGTCTAAAAGGTTGCACCACTTGAAGCTAAATGAGGGTGGGTCAGTTTGTAAAGGTTGTTGTTGTCCTGTTCAGCTTCTGAGATATGTACGATATATGACTGGCACCTTACAAGACAAAAATATGAACGGTGGCACAGGTTCAGCTCTCTTCAGTAATATGTGTCCCTGTGCCTTACAATCTACTTCAGTTACTAAGAAAGCCCTTAGGTTCTGTTGTTTAAATGAAATGAATTTAATGTAATAAGGTTTCTTATAATATCTGCTGGTATAAACTCAAAATTAAATATAAGATATTATTGTAATTAAAGCCGAAAAGTAATTAAACTTCAATGTGAAAAAATCCATGTTGCTCTCTGATGATTACTTCACAGTTACACCCACTATATTTAGTGCTATTACATAATTAAGTCCCTCACACCTTTTAAACTTGACCCTGCACTCAGCTGGAGAAGCTCTGGATTCCTGTTGTGGGCTCCTATGTCACTCCCCAAGGTTGATTTAACTAAAGTCATAGGTGCTTTTAGGTAATACAATATCGCAGCAGGGTATGTCCACAAATGCTAGGGAAAATCAAAACAGTCACAGCGTGACAGGGGAGGTGTGGATGCGTTGTTGACTTACGGAGATGAACTGGGAGAGAGGGATCATGTCTTTGCCCTCAGTGATGGTGTAGAAAAGTAGGTCCTCCATACTGGACATCAACCTACTTCTGCAAAAACAACACACACACAATACACTGTGATCTCTAAATTGAACTGGCGCCAATGTATCAACTCAAAACCATGAGCTGTGTGTCAATGTTTATGTCAATAACATGACCAGTAGTGAAAATACTGGCAAACATCCCGTTATTGAGCTAGTTCTTAACAGTAAGTGTGTGTACGAGAGGGGCAGTGGCCTCTGTGCCACTTTACCACTTTACGTACATAAAATATAAGCATACAATTAAGGACTGATAAATTCAGTATACAGTGTGTTTTTCTTTCCTTTCGTTTTCCTTATTCCTTATTTTATTGTTTGGTTGTAGCATACATATATTTTGAAATATCATACAAATCTTTATGTTAAAAAAAAACACTTTTTTAAAAACAAAGATGAAAATGTGAAATACACAACTGTAAAATGGTAGAATGAAATATCAAAATGCTACTCCTATGCCTGCACTTGTAGCTCAAATACTGCATTCAAATCATAATAATAATAACAGTAATCTGTGAAATATATATTATAATTGCTTTTTTGGGAGGGAAATGCTTGTTAGTTTTCCTGCCAAGAGTAAATAATAAGAATGATAGATTGTTTGCTTAAACTTTACCAAAAAATGAGCTGTAAAAGCAACATATTGCAGTTTTAAGGGCAGCAGTTTCCGGACTATTTCTTGTTTTGGGCGCAGTAACTTCCTAACATCTTATCATTAGCCTGAGGTTACCTGGCAACCAGCCGATTCTCCTGAAGATGACTGCGCCATCCAAAAAACACAACTTGTTTTAACTCTTTGTTTACAACTTAAAACAAACAATATACTGTATGATGTTAATTGGTGAGCTTGGTGCTGAGGTGTTTGTGGGAGTTTTTCTTTCTTTCTTTCTTTATTTTAAATCTCTGGATGTATCCAGGCTGGTTGTTTTCACCTGTTTTCCAGTCCTTGCCAAACTAACGTTAGCATCAGCTGTCTTTTAACTAGCAGTATAAATGTGGTATTGATCTTCTCTGGCAAGAAAAAATGAACACTGGTAAGTATATTGTACAAAAAAAAGAAGAACTAAAAACTGAGATTTTACTGCACAACAATGGTACAGCCTTTTAACAACTCCCACTATACCATGAACTTTACAATATAAAAGAAGTTATTATGAGATTACTAGCTAAGTAACTATAACCAGACAATTTAAGTACACCAGACAGCTCCCTCGGGATTATTGTGTCTGAGAATATTGTGGGGAAAGTGATGACGAATAATAACGAATAATATTTTGGCTAATTAATGGTGATTTATTCATTTAGAGACAGTTTACTGTGACCTACTTTGCGTGTCCTTGGTCCACATCAGGGCCCTTCTGGTGATGAAAGGCTCTGTGGGTGTGGGGTGATGCTGCGGCCCAGCAGGGCACAAGAACAGGTTGCTGCGTCCTGGACAAAACAATGTTGTCAGCTCCAGCTCTGGCGGAGACCCCTGCATTTTTAAATACCTGCAAGATTCCCGGGTTAGCTGTCCTCAGACTTTTCAGGCAATGCATTGTGATAAGTAGACCCTAATCTTTAATAATTCAAAAGGGAGTTTATTTTTCGCCCCCAGTAGCTGATCTAGAGAGAGATACTTGTGACCAGTACCCCCTGGTCCTCAGAGCTTTAATAGCAGCTGCTGTCTTACAGACTGGATCACAGGGCTGTTACTCGGGGGCGGGGCTGTGACACTGACAACACGTTGGTTCAGATGGTGGGGTCAATAACCAGCAGCTACTGAAGCTAAACCGGTAGCTGTGGCTTTCTACTGCAGCTGCTGATTATAAAGAGGGAGGGGAATAACTTTCATACTTTAGTTGTAGTCTTACTTGCACTGCACTTAATGTAGTCTTAGAGTGTAGTTAATGATCCTTCAGAAACAGTATATGGATGTAGAGTTGCAGTGTATAATATTACAAATTCAAAGAATATATATAAAAAAAAGAGAGATGAATAATATCACTCTGGACTGTGTGGACATAAGTTACTGTAGTGATAACTGTGCCCAAAAGTTTAATGTAGACTTAAAATTTAGTTAAAAAAGCTGGTATGAGCTCATATAGCAAGAAAGAAGCTGTAACAGTGAAGTGGACATGTGCCAGAAAGCAGGTTTATTTAATCAAAGAAATGACTCAAAGGCTGGAGTTGTTTAACTGTTCATTTTGTGTAGTTTTATATATTTTACTTGTGTTTAAATAATAATATTTATTCTGTTTTCTGCAAATGTTTGTGCAGTTAATTATATACATTACTTTTATATGTTTTGTTGTAGCAGAACTACTGTTACTACTACAAAATCACCCAGTATTATTTGTTGTTTTTCTTATTACTGTTCATATGATTGAGGTTAAACAATCATCATTTTTTACTATTAGCTCTGAGGAAGACTTTATATTTCATGATCTGCATCTCAAATATCTGTTTAGCATTTATTTGATGAGTCAGTTATAAAATCCTCTAGAATAAAGTGTGTCAGCTTTATCTGTCATTAGTTAGATTGAATCTGTTATTAGTCATTTATTCAGCTCGTGTAAATGATCATACGTGTGTTGTTGTCCAGTCTGTTCAATATTGTAAATAGGTAATAATTCTTTCTACTGCTGTTAGATAGCGACACCCTATGGTGACTTTCCCACACTGACTCACTGAAACCTTACCATCTTGTCCTCTAGGTGGTGTACTCACACCAGGACCCTATACTCAGGTCAGTCTCTGTTTCTTTGTTGTTTTGTTGAGAGGACACATCACAGCCGTGTCTGAGATCCTTCCTCTCCATAGGGGTTTTTTGGCAGGTTGCCTGGTGCTTCAAACACAATTTATTGAATAATTTCTAATTTCTTGAGTTTTGAGGCCTGGCTTCCTGTCTTTGATGTCAGCTGCTGTGTGAGATCCTCCTCGGTAACACAATGGTTGGACTGTATGACTGCATTTTACAACATACTAAGGAAATCAGCTGGGAAATTGAATCTTTTGCTGTTTTTCTTACTTTTTTAACTATTTTTCATTTTGCTCCAATGTTATTTAAGGCGGTTCTTATGAAGGCAATTTAAATCAATTATGAGATTGTTAAGGATCCTGGTGATAACCCACTACGCCCATGTTCACTTTCCACCTTTATCATGCTTGCAGACTGTGTAGTATTAATTTCCAAGCAGACTCCAGAAAGTGACTTGATATTATCTCCATTACCAAATAAACGAGGCCTCTCTAGGTTCTGGTGGTCTCTTCTGCATTTCTAGGCGTGTGACTTCTCCAAAGGGGTGCATGCTAACCCATGGCCTCTCTGCAGTACCTCTGCCGGTTGTAGCTTCTCTGTTTTCAGGAGAAAATGTTTTCCATTCCTGGGCCAATGAATGCCACCTTTGTCCCTTCATCCTCCATCTTGTGTGAGAAAGCCCCCCTCGCTGCACACACCAAGCCTGCACAAACTTAACCTCTTCCCCCTCCACCTCACACAGGAAAAGAAACATACCGGGTCTGGTGCTTTGATTCAGGCTCAGTAATCTGGAGGTCTGGATAAAGCCCTGGCTTAGAGACTACTTTAGACAGCCAGTTTTGGGGACTTTAAGAAGGAAAAGATTTAGTAGCTGTTGAAATTTAAACTGTGTTTGGATTCATCAGATAAGAATTCTGCTAATAAAAGATACAGACTCGTTAACAGCATCTAAGAACTTAAAAAGAGATGTGGGCTATCACTTTATTCAAATTGAATTTAGTACAGCAAGTTTATGCCAGGAAATGTGTGGTAATGAACATGGCGAGAGATATTTATTGGTTCTAAAGCAATTCAAAGCAATGGTACACATTACTTATCCTCATTATCAGCCTTTTCTGGCCACATTACACCAATTACACTTCCATTTTCATAGGACTGATGTATGCTTATTTTTCCAAATCACTCAAAGCCCCTCTGGGCCTTGAAACATATTCTGCTCAGGCTACCACACAGCACTTGTATTATACTGAGTGTTTCATTACCACAGAGACAAAGTGCCTAAAACACCTTTATTTAAACCATTTCCAGTTTCAGTTAAGCCAAAAATCTGCTCCACTGTCAAACGTTAGACTGCCTGCACGGTAATAATTTGATATTAAGTAGAGGCATGAAATAAGAACAGTACATTGTGAAGTAAAGCTCCTTATTAGAAACTGTTAAATGCTTGTAGAGATTTAATGCATCATTTCATGCATCTCTCAAATGAAAGGATAAGGGCCATTATGCCTCTGCCACCCAGGGTGAAAGGAATTCCATCTCCTCTCTAAATCGACCCTCACACACACACACACACACACACACACACAGAAAGATCTATCTATCTATCTATTTCCAGTATAGGGAACTTTTAGTTATTTCAGCCATGCTATTGCTCCAAACTGTTGATCCGGCACTTTGCACTTTGGAAGATTTAATTTCCTGGTGACAATTATGATCCCCAGAAGATTAATCCTACCTTAAAATCCCTTCAGCCTCAGATGTACTTTTACTTTAAAACAGGTATAATCAGTATTTTCATTAAGACGTGTATATAAGGAAGCTACACATTCAGGTGTTAGAGGAGCTTTATAGAGAGTTTCAGCTCATTGTTTAGCTGTCTGGCCCACACATTTTCTGTTTTGTTTCACTCTCACCGTTCACATAGCATCTTTTTCGCCTTCAGCAGACAAATGTTTTCAACAAAAAAGCTGTAAAAACCCACTGTACACTTCCTGCTAAGCACCAAATGGCAGACAGACACAATGAGTAGCTGCTGAACATAGTGGAGCATTAAGCAATCAGATCCAGACATTTCTCTCAGGAGTTGGTAGAGACCAAAAACAGAGCTTAAAGAAAGACTTACATTGGCTAGCTGGATGTGTAAAGCAACTGCTTGATAACAAGTTCACCATATCAACTTAACTCCTTACCGTTGCCAAAAAAAAAAAATATTGCAGGTTTAATTAGAAATGTTAGTATTTTAACAGTAATTTATATGCTTATATGGCATATTTTACATGCAACCATCTACATGTTAACATCAAATTAGTTAGCATATATGAAGTAACTGAGCTGAAGTACAGCTAGGGCTGGTGTCATCTACTGCAGGCTAACAAAAAACAGCTTGAATTGCTGAAAGTTGTGCCAAAGTAAAGCTGAGGTTGACAAGCTAAGTCTGAGATACTATATCCTAAAATGTCAATTGTACAAAGGACAAACCCCATCGATTAAAGTAATAACATGGTTGATTCACTTTACATTTTCTGCCCCAGCAGTAAGACAAGAGTGGCGAGTTGTTTCTAAATTTTTTCATCCAACAAACCAACTTCTTTTTCAGGTGTGTAATACACATTACAGCCTCATGGGGCCGCTAGCATGACTATATAGTCTTGTTGCATCTGCAATTAAATCACATTATTTAAATATGTTTATTTCTTTTAAAAATTGGTTTTATTTCTTAAAGATAGCTTTCCTTTTGTCACAACATTGGTGACAGACACAGTAACAACGCACTTTGAGTGTGTTGAAGCCACTAGCGTCTTATAGGTCCTCTGTTGAGTCCCTTTTTGAATAATTACAACCTGAACATAGAGACCCAGTCAGTTTTTATGAGGGACTGGATACATTGTGAGACGCTCTCAGCCCTCAGGGCCTGTCTGTCCTCTCCTCTCCCCAGGTGTGTGCTGACTACCCTCCCATCACCAGTTTGTGTGTACAGAGAGGACCACAGCCACCCCTCTGCTGCGGTCACTGTGCCGAAACCTAGACACCCTCTAGACCCCTGGAGCCTCTGTGCACCCGTACAGTTGTGAGAGGTCAGCCCCCCCATCACCGCGTTCCGTCCGTCACTGCCATCTCTTCCCCTTCCACTAACCCTCAAACCAACCCCCCCTCTTCCTTCATCCTCCTCCTAGCTTCCACACCCTTCCTCACCCACCAACCCCCATCCTCACCATGCAGCTATCCCACTGCCCTGCCATCTCGCAGCATTCCGCGGGCCGTGCACACAGAGGCCTATTGTGTGTGCTGGGAGACGGCAGAAGGCAGTATACAGTCAGAGCAGCAGAGAAAAAGGATGTGTAGAGCTGAAATGAACTCTGTACATTGATACAGAGCTGTAGTTGAAAGTTGCTCTGGTATTCTGGAATATGACATTGCTGCAACGTCGTTTTAAAGAGAGCAGTGGCAGATGAATGTTGAATGATTGCTCCACAGATCTCAGCTGCGCTCTTGTCTTGAGATTATTCATCCTCGGCACTTGTCGGATGCTATAAATGGCACCAATAATTTCTTTAGCATCTCTAGATTCATCTTGATTTCTGGTTTGGCTCAGCGTTGCTTCTTCGGACAAGGCATAATTGAATGATCTTTTGAATGGTCTCTTTTTTCTTTATTGCATGTACCTATATATGATTTCGATGTGGTTTGGTTTCTGTAGCTATTTTTTACAGTTTTTTTCTGTACTCAAGGAACCATTATATCCTGTAACCTATTTTAACATCTGTGCAATCACAGACTCTCAGTCAATCCCCAAAATAA